GACACTTTCTGTAAACCACACCTATAATTAAATTAGCATTTGTCCCTAAAAAACGACAAACTTTAAAGTTGACTTATCTTAGTTGCCATCGCCTATCTTATAATAGCCACACATTGTGGAAATTGCCAAAGTATAAAGAAGAAAACAATTTATGCATCAAATGAAAATGATATTCTAATTTCCATGAATTTATAATGTAACAAATGTCAAGAATGTCCCCAAGATCTTTCATGAGAAGTTTCGAGAGCTTACCAAATAAAATAGAAAAGAAAGAAGGGAACAAAAAAGACACCAAAAAAGTATCCTCTATATGTACTATAATCTTTAATTTCATTGGTGGAAGACATGATTTGAAAATCATGTATTCCAGTACTGTAGCACTTCTTGTCTGATAATGGAGAAGTTTTACTGTAAAGTAGGTGCAGTATCCATTGACCTTATATTTCTGGTTAAAAAGTGGATACTGATAGTTACTGGGGGTCATGACATTTAGGGTATCCAAAGAGGCCATTTCTTCCTGAAATCAAACACGCCGTTTCAAAAATAAAAACACGTAATAAATAAACATTTGAGTAGGAAAAAAGAAACAAGAAAAAGGGAAACATGCTCCACTACCGCAAAATTAGGACAATAGGGCCGACATGTATGGCAATTATAGGAAGTGGAGGTAAACATGTGTTACACTTCAAAAACCCATAATGTTTTTGAAGTATTTACAGTTAACCAATTTAGTGTACTATTTTTCTAGGAAAAAATTTTGTCCGCCTATTGGTATACCCTCCCACACCAAAAAGCACTTTTTTTACCCAAAATTTTGGGTACACATTTTCTTCATTTGACAAGGCCTAAAAACAAAATTATGAAAGATCAACTTGTTAAATGTTTTTTTAAAAAAACTTGACGGGTGCTTGCCATCTATTTCATGTGTAGCTGGATCCATCTTTTTAGGGACTCAAAATTTTTGTTCTTTTTATATTAGGATACGGTTTCCATAAGTTCATTTAGAAATGAGTCACCTTTTAAAAGTCTATTTTTGAGATGGATTTTCGGACCTAATTTTTAAAGATATTTAATCTCTAACTTGGAGATCAGAAAAAATAAATAAATCTTAAAAATTAAAAATAATAATTCTATTAAAAAAACATTTGAACCGTTAGTTTCAATTATGTTTTTGGTGGACTACCTATTTACATCCATCTTTATTAAAGATACGGTATACCTTGAAGACTGCAAATGTTGAAATGCAATCCACATGAAAATTTTTTTTTTTACATTATTCATATAAGTCATAGTGAGGCAATCTACAAATTTACGGGTAAAGAGATCCCTCTAAATACTATTTTTTTTTTCCTAAAATGGACTACTTTTTTTCACTCCTCAAAGTCCTAAACTGGCCCACTTTTTTTCTCTCCTAAGAGAGAGCAATAAGAGTAGGTTTTTTTTGTATTTTTTTGGGTAAGTCAGCGGGGAATACAGCCCCTACCCTTTTTTTTTTGGGTCTTTTTTTTTTTTTTTCTTTTTTAAGTCAACGGATATACAACTGGTTATGCAGCCCTGGATGCATACTATATTGCAGTGTTCACAGGATAAGTGCATTATTTATAGGAAAATAATTTATATAGGTGTTGATCTAGAAGTAAAGAGCACCTTAAAAATCAGATGTAAAAGGTGCTCTAAAAATAGTGTATTTTGTAATAGATTATCGGACCGTCTGTTTTGAATATTTCAAATATTTACAGATCTAATCAATTTGGGCCACTTTTTAAAGCTTCAGATTTTATAATGAGGGGTGGAAATAGATTTTCAAATCATGATACTGAAATTGCATCTTCAAACAAAGTTCAAAATTACATCTTATTTTTGAACACCTTTTACATACCACACTCTTATTTTTCAAGTTAGAAGAGTGCTTTTTTTGGTCACTGGGTTTATTTTCTTAGTAATGTTATTGGTAACATTATTTTAGTTTAATAATTTTATTGGTGACATTATTTTTATTTATTATTTTAGTATTGAGAAAATATGCAATATATATTGCATGTATAATATATGGTCCACACAGGAACTATTTACCTTCCTCATCAGAGTGGATGGAATATTTGCGGGCCATGGGCCATGTGCTATCTAAGGTGTTAATTTTTTTCAAGCAGATATAGGGACTAAGATGTATACGAATCTAGAATTAGGTGGGTTACTTTGTTAGAGGGACTATGAATAATTATATACTCTCTCCCCCTCTCTTGACCTCTCTCTCCAAGGGACTATGAAATAACTATATACTCTCTCCCTCTCTCTTTGATCTCTCCACTTCCACTTTGTTAGAGGGACTATGAAATAACTATATATTCTCTCCTTCTCTCTTTGATCTCTCCACTTTGTTAGAGGGACTATGAAGTAACTATATACTCTCTCTCTATGTGTGTGGGGTGAGAGAGCTCAAGTTGATGAGTTAGCGTAACTAGTGAGCGTTTCATCCAATGTTTGGAAGTGATTTAATCGGCTAAAGTGTTGAAAAAATAAAAAATATACCAAAAAAAATCTACTGAAATATGGAAAGTATATAAAGAATGATTGAAACAAAACACATTCAAATAAAGTTGAAAATTAATGAAAAATAGATTTTAATGAATCGATTTTTGAATTTCAGTGACCATTAATGACAAAAACAATTTTTAAATATTACCATAATGTAAAGAATATTAAAAAATACATTACAAACTAAATTCCTTATTTTTAAAAATTTATATACTAGTTTTTTTTTTTTTTTCCTTTTAAATACTGGTCGATCACGAAAACCACCCAAAACTGGCCAGTTCCAATCCCACCGGGCAATTAGCGGTTAGATCGCTCGATTTTTCTAACAATGGTTTTACCGGAGGTCCATGGCTTGGAGCACTTTCCACCCCAAACAAATCCATTAAAACTTTTTGTTTATTAAAGTATATAGTTCATTGTCCTTGTGGTAACAAAACATCTTTTTACTCCACATGACTTATCTTCATTATCATCATTAGAACCTTAAGCCAATTCTTTAGGGTTGGCTACATGAATCTTATCCTGCCATATTGCTCTATTAAGAGTTACCCCCAATCAGGATTGATGAAAGGATGTAGCAAAGTTTTATGCTGGCTGTCTTGCCTAACACAACTCTCCTCCTTTATTTGGGCTTGAGACCGGCTATGGTAGAGTTATATAGTTGAATTTTATTGATGTTGTCAAAAATATATATAGGAGGATTTTATTAATGTGGGCAAAATAAAATGAAACCATTTATAAAATCATTAAAAAGTTCAAATGATCCTAATTAATATGTGCAAGGTTACTTCTTAGTTTCATTTCATTCATAAATCTCCTTAAAAAAAATTTCAAATTGCCCTTGTTCAAGATTATGAAGGATGAACAATCCAAAATATTTCAGTAATTTGATTGGTTTTTATGGAAATCTAAACTAGACAGGCCCCACATTAGGTGCCAAACTGTTTACTAACAAATTTATGGTGGAAATCGACTCGAGGTCTAGTCCATCTTGATCTGTGTTCAAACTTGTTATTTAGAAATACCGTAAAGTTGTGGGTTCCATCAAATTATGATGTATGAGAAATCAATTCCGAAGAACCTTTTCCTTACAAATCGTCAGTTTGGGCTGGCTTAGATATGTGTTAAACCGAAAAAAAACACTTATAAATAGCAAGGAAAAACTAATGAAGATTTTAAAAGATTTTTAGAACAATAAAATAAATACAAAGAAATAACATAGAATAATGAAAGAAGAGACGACGGGATTAATACCTTGGAAGCTGGGCCTTTAGGCTAGACACCCCAAGTTGCGGCCCGGATCAGTTTGAAGATGATGAATCGTTCCTCCTTTCACCTTCGAGGTTTGCCGAACCGTTGCATTTATTTTATAGAGACTTTAGGGTTTAGTTTCCTAGGGTTTGTTGGGGTCTAGAAATTGTTGGGCTAAGATGCTAGGGCTAGGGTTCTGTTTAGGAAGAGGTCCAAAAAATGATAGAAGGTGATCTAGTTATAGACAAAACCTGCTAAAATTCCATCACCGACACCGCGGTTCAATTTGAGCCATTGATTACATTGGCGATGTGGGGTGCATCGCTGGCCCAATGGGCCTAGCGAGGTGGTCAGCATCGCTGGTCCTTTTCCTGGTTTAGATCATGCATTTTGATCCGTACTTTCAAATTTCGTATGAATTGTGTCAGATTTCATATCATATGGATTCTTGTTTCAGCATTCTTGAATATTTTCTCTCCTTCACACATCGTATTTTCCTCAAGCAGGTCATTTGAAATGTTTGGGGAATATTCTAAGGCTGGACTATGGCATGGGTGTGTACTATGGTTCAATGTGTCCTATGGTACACTAGGCTAGTGTGTTTCAGGGTTTAGGGACTCCGGAATAAATCTAATTCCGGAAGGGGTGTCAATAAGAGTAGTTCACATTGTTTATATATGTGTTTTGTTGAAATTTGAAGATATTGGCTAATAAATTAAGAAAAGCTACAGTATATGGAAACTTCAAAATTGGTGCCATATCCATGTCGGATACTTCAAAAATGTTTTGAAAATCACAACATTTTGGCATTTTAGCTGTGCCCACAGCCATTTCTTGCATCATAGGCAGTGTTGGAAATTTTGGCAACCCAGCTGTCTCGGCGGCCAGTCACCTAAAACGCTTAGGCAGACGGCTTGTGTCTAAGCGCCCGTCTAGGTGGTACAGTCAAGGTGGTCGCCTTGGCATAGGTTGTCGAGGGCGGAAAAAATGCCCTCGGCTACGGTCAAAATAGTAATTCTCCCCTTTAAAAAGGGGGGAAAAGGGTTTTAAGGGACATTCTAAACCCCCAAAACCAAATCCATGCCATCTAGAGAAAGAAAAACTCCCAAAAAACCTCTATCTTGTGATTTATCGAAAGATCGATAAATTTTTAATTTTCTTCAATTTCTTCCAAAATCAAAGGTAATGTGCTTCATGGTAATTTTCTGGAGCATCTAGTGGTCAATAGTGTGGACTTTCAGCGATCGAATAAACGAGCATTATGATATTTGAACAAGGGTTTTGAGTTTTTTTGCTATAACATATAATGTTTTGAATCATTTGATTGATCTTTTTCTAAATTTTTTTCCTTTTATGATATATTTACATAATTGGAGTTGAAAGATTGATTTTTTTTTTGTGATTAATTGATTATTCATTCGTTTGGATGATAAAGTTAGTCCTATATCGAATTCTTTTATGACTAATTGGTTCTTATTTTGTACAATGTATGACTTTTTGATATCCTATTAGTTTTGTTTTACTTTTTTGATGTTTTTACATATTTATAGATGGAATATTTACTGATTTGGACTTATATTTTGTCAATCGTCATGAACTTTAGATGAAATTGTTATTTTCTGAATATTTGATATCTAAGGCCACATCTTATGGATATTGATTAATAAATAAATTTTATTTTAATTAATAGTCCCTGCCCATCCCTAGGCAGGTGCCCGGCCGCCAAGGTGGCCAGGCCCTCAAAATGGCTACTTTTTTAACACTGATCATAGGTGAGAAGATAAATTTCAACGGGAGAAAAACAGAGAACACTGGAAAGAAGCTTCACCTCCCATGTGAACTTCCTTGTTGGATTTACAATAACTTTCTATTGTAACAAAAAATATCTTTCTCTTGTTCTAAATTCGCCCCTAAAGATTTTGCTTGATGTTCTGAAATTCTCTGATTGCATGGTCACAAGTTTTTTGCCTGAGTAGTTGCACAGAGATTCTTGATTAATTTGAAGCATGCAACTTGGCCTTTGAAATCAATTATGGGCTAAATATCTCGTTAGTCTGTTGCTTGCTTGGTATCATTCTTCAGGATGACAAGGCAGACTTTTCTTTCTGTGACTTTTCATTCTTCAGGATGACAAGGCAGACTTTTCTTTCTGCATCTATGGAAACCATTGACATAAATGTTTATCGTACATGCTTCTGCATTTTTTGCACGAAGACCTCACAATGGTAGACCTCATTTTGTAAAACTGAACTAGTTCTCTCCATTATGCTTTCCAAAAAACTTTGATTCCTCAATGTGATTGGTACAATCTAATTTGTCGAATTTCTGCATTATGCTGAGCTGCTTTGGATTAACTTATCTAAGGAGGTCAACTTTGAAACAATTTCGCTACTTTTTGTTGCATTGGTTCAATTTATTAGGGAAATATTCCATCATTTATGCTTTCAGTTATCATTCCAAGATGTTCGTCTCATTGTTGAAAGTATTCAACAATCATAGAAGACCAACCTGAGGTTCTATCTCTAATGCAATTTATTTTATTGTGTGCAATTTATTTTGTCGATGATGTATCAAACCATTTTCTCGAACCTGATTATTTCATTTACGTGACACTAAGGCATTGGAGTGCAGAGTGCCCACTTATTTCTTGTTTGTTGCATATAGGACTCTCACCGACAACATGGTGGTTGGAGTGTCCAAGGGCTTTGAGAAAAGACTCCAACTAATTGGAGTGGGTTATCGAGCTACGTTGGAGGGGAGCGATTTAGTTCTTAACCTTGGTTTCTCTCACCCAGTGAGGATGCCCATTCCAAAAGAGATTAAAGTGAAGGTGGAAGATAATACCAGGATTGCAGTAAGTGGTTTTGATAAATGTGCAGTACGTGACTTCTCAGCTTCCATTAGGAAGTGGAGACCACCTGAACCCTACAAAGGCAAGGGAGTCAAATATGCAGATGAGGTTGTAAGGAGGAAAGAGGGCAAAGCTGGGAAAAAGAAGTGAAAATAATGAGGTCTTTTCTCTTTTTCTATCTTTTCTTTTGCCCAGTGTAACTTCCTTTTTCTCAGTTTCTTAAATGCATAAGCATTTCTATTTCTAGCTTCATGTGTCTTTATCTGTTGCAAAATATATGGAAATTCAACCGGTTATAAAGTATATATATATATATATATATATATATATATATATAATATA